TGTTGTGAAATTAGGTTTGAATTCTTTATCCTCTGCTTCATTATCTTATTATAATCATTTTTTTTTTTTTTTTTATCTTTTTCAAATGAACCACTCTTTTGAAAACGAATGGCTATTTATTATTGCAAGAAATTGATGTAAAAGGGTGCTGTAAGATGTAAAGCTCTATTATTTTTAGTTCATTATATCTTGTATCTTATCTTAGAAGTTAGGCTCTAGAGACTTATGGAAAATCTTCACAGCGTCATTAACAAGGGTAGGTCTATCATTCCATATCTGATTCATGGCTGATCTTATTACCTTTCCCAAAGATAATGCAGAACTATTTGTAAAGAACTTTTTTCTAATTCGACTTTTGTATCTTCTGGACATTCTCTTCTTTTCATTCAAGTTAAACAAGTTGACCCATTGTTAGACTTTCAAATCACTCTAGCTTTTGTTGCTAAAGTCATATCTCAATTAAACTCTTCAATGACTTCTTGTGGTCCAGACAACATTCCTGTAGTATAAGTTTATCTTGATTGTTCTCTAGAACATTCTTAAATTCCTTTTAAACTGTTTAATAAGTGCTTGACTGATTCTAGTTTTCCTGCATGCTTGAAATCTAGCATCTGTCGTTCCAATTTTCAAAAATTCAATTGAACATTCCTATTCCTCCATTTATCGTTGGATCAGTCTTTTTGCTGTTATTAGCTACGTTTTTGAGTCTTTGATCAACAAATTTCTCATCTTGAGTCAAATAACTTACTGTCATACAATCGATACAGTTTTCAATCCTTTTGCGCTACGGCTCACTTGCTAACTGCTGTGACTAAAAGATTTCATCATGCATTAAATGGAGGAGAGGTTAGGGCTATTGCTCTTGTCATATCTAAGGCTTTTCGACAGAGTTTGGCATGCTGGTCTTCTCCAAAAGCTTTTTTCATATGGTGTATCTGGATCAAATTGTTTCTTTATAACCGCTTTATTTAAATCATTAAATTATTTGATATGTAGATATAAATTATTTGATATGTAGATATAAATTATTTGATATGTAGATATCAAATATTTACACATAAGAAGTTTTTCTACTTTACATTTGAAGAAAGTTTTGATGAATTGTTGTGAATTATGAAGAAGAATCTTTTGTCTTTGCTTGTGGCAAAATATTCTTGCTAATCAAAGTTATGACTTGAATGATTATTTTTTACAAGATTGTCAAAGAAAATTTTTACCAGCTTCTTTCATTTATTGACATAAATTTACAAAAGAATACAAGTATTGAATGTAGTCGAAGCTTAGGAAAAGCAACTTTAACAATTAATCAATTGATAATTCACTATAGTATAAAACGTGTTTGTCAAAATCAATGAAGAAGCCAAGATTCAAAGAAGTTATAAACTTATATCAATGTTTTTAAACAGGGTTAAGGAATTATCAATACAAATTTGTAATAGAGTTTTGAATTACTTCACATTAAGAAAAAAAATGGATTGCCCGCTGTACTTGAATCTTAACGTTTTCACAACTGCTGCTTTGAATATTATAGACCACAATCCGAGTTAAAGGCTCTTTTCACAAAACTGGCATATCATTATTTCAGCATTATTTCATATTTTCAATTATCAGAGAAAGTTAGATCAGATTTTGAAAATTCTTCTTTAAGGTTTTCTAAAAAAAACACTTATTAAACCTTCCTGATTCATACAAACTGAGATTTGACCATTTTTATATTTTAATGAAAGACCAGAAATGGAAAACTATGCCTACATCTGTTTAAACAACCTCTTTTGGGAACTTACACACAAAAAAACTTTAAAAAAATGTAAGACTTACTTCCACATTATCTTATGCATATTATATGTTTATATAGTTAATCAAAGATATATATCTATTAAAAAATCTTTTTTTATTATTATTATTATTTTTTTTTATTTCAGATGGTCGTACCACGTTGAAAATGGGAAATACGATCAAGGGAAAAAATAGAAAGGAGCTCCAACATACCTTGGTCAGCGTTTAATCCGTCACAGATTTATGCCGTCAAAGTAATTGATTATTTGGGATTACACCCGTTTTTCCAAGAATCTTTGAAATCTGCTGCCATGATCAAAAATAATTAATGGATGTGATCAAGACAGCTGTTGATTTTTTAAATAAATGTCTATTATCTGTCATTACTTTTGATCAGCCATTGTATTCCTTAGCTGAACTGATAAAGTTGAATTGCAAAGAATACTATAGAGAAATGTTTATGTCATTATGATGGGGCCACTTCATATCAAAACGGGGCCGCTCAAAGCAGTTAAAGATTGGTTGATAAAAGTGGTAAATATGGTTAACTCCATTAAGATTTTTTAGGGCAAAAAATATTCCACCGTTTTTTCTAAACCAGAATAAAAGAGTGTAAGGAGTTAATAACCAATAAAACGAAATAATCGATTTTAGTTACGTTAATACAAAAATGGAGTTAAAAGATCAATCAAATATTCATAATTCTCAAAAAAAAAGTTGTTAATTGTTTTTGAGACTGTATATTTCCTGCCAGATCCAAAAGGACAACCTTAACAAGTTTTTTGTTTATGAAAACCACACCTTTCTACTGTCTCTTTTAAAAGATGAACTCCTAGATTTAAAAGATTAACTTGTTTCAAAGATTTGCACAGCCCACTTTAGGGTAAACCTATAGATAAATGTTTAAAAAAAAATGTTTCATTATTGATGGAGCTGTTGTATAGCAGTTGTAGATTTTTATAGCAGATGATTAATGCACTGATTATATTTTCTAATTTTAGGTTTAGAACTTTTTCATATGGTTATATTTCGGTACTGGCATGATCTTTTTAAATGTCTTGGCCAAAACAGTAATTTTTACGTGTGATTAAATTACATTTATTGCTGGAAAAAAAAGCTTTCCTGGAAATCTAAAGAAAATTTGAAGATCTCTTTAACGTGTTCATATCGGTTTCCAATTGTCCCTCAAAGGATGATATTATCAGTATTTTCCACTTAATTGAAAGATTCGTTATGTTACTATGTGATCCTACAAGTTTTTACAGTAGTGTAAACGAATACAGAAAAACCCTATTTTTAAGAAAAGGAACATTTACCAGATGCCATACCCCCTACAAAAGATGCTGTAGAACAGCATATCTCCAGAGTTGTTTATCAGGCTTTGTATTGTTGGGCATAATCATTGTATAGAATTCATCATTGCCTAAAACATGTGGGTGGCATTGGATTATGGAAGACAATATTTACAGAATTGTTTAGACAACGATTCCGGAAGCTTCAAAAATGTGCAACTGAATTTACACTGTAAGGGTTGCCTATTAATTATATCAACAGAATAGAAGGGAGGGGTGTCTGAACTTTTTTGACAATTGTTGACAAGGGGAGGGGGGAGGTCAATTAATGTAGATGTCAACATTTTTTTTTTTTTTTTTTTTTTTTCTGAGTTTCATTGCTTAAATAATAGAGAATTTGTAGCGGAGCTTCTTTGTATAGGGGGATAGGGGAGGAGGTAATCAAAAATTGAAAAGGACATCACCATTTTTTAGCTAATTTTTGAATAATGACTCATAAATATAATATTAAATTTTATTTAATTATTTTCATTTAATAATATTTAAAATTATGCACTATTTTGAATTTTATTTGCAAACGAGTTAGAAGTCTACGTTCCTTCTCCCCCATGGAAAAAAGAATTTATCCAAATGCGTACAAGAGGGGAAGGGCGTTAAGACAGCGAGTACATATGCGATTTGGCTATCTTTTGTTCTCTATTTCTGATTATACAAAAACACTGAATTTTACAAGTTTTTAAAAATTATCATGTTATGTAACATAAGATATGGGATCGTCCATAAATTACGCAGCGCAAAATATAAAAATAGAAGTAGGAGATATTAAGCTCTTTTACGCGGCGATTTTCATTAAACTTAATGTGCTATTTTTATTTTTTATTGAAATTAAGACTCTACATGGGAAAACCTTTTATCTTTTTTATTTTGTTTATTGTGAAAGTGGCTTTACTTAATTTATGGACGATTTCTATGTCTAATTAATTAAAAGTTTTTAATTTTTTCAAAAATTTATGCGTTAGGGAAGGAACGAGAGAATTTGATTTTGTAATAAATAATACTATGTACGCAAAGAAAGGAAGGGTGGTTAAACGCAGACGGGTGAGTACAAGGATGGAGGTGGTTCTAAATTAGTGGTTTTACTGCCTACGTACTTTATGGATTCCACCTTACATTTAACGAGGTGCATTAAGTATTTTTAGAATTGTTTTAAATACACAAAAGTCAAATTTTTCATAATCAACATTTCCTTCTTATTTTTTTTTTTTTTTTTTTATTGATTAGCGATGCGTTGCGATCAAGTGACCGAAATTATAAAGTATTTTTAAGTTTTCACTGATTTTCAAGAGACAGTGTACTAAATACTTTAAAATCAAAAAATAAATTGCTTGGTGACTATTAATAATACTTGTGCTAATTAACATCATATTATTCAATATTTTGCTTATTTAAATTTTCGATAGAATGCATTTCTCTAACAATGCACAATTTAAAACTCTTGTTCTGCTAAAGAAATATTTCAGCAGAATCTAAATTGACATCATTTTTTTATGATTCTTATGCACGATGTGAAAAAAATTATTGGAGAAATTTTGTAAAATTGAAATAAGCACGCTGAGTTCGGTCACCAAAATGGTCTGACCGAATTTTGGCTGTTATACGGTATTTTTCAGAAGAATAAAACGTTTTTTATATATTTATCAAAGACTTGTATAAAATACATTCTTTATGCATTTCCTGAAGCAGGGGTTGGGGGGACTATAATTTTTTGTTGTTGTTATATTCTTCTCCCGACCCTTTAACATCGAAACACCGTCATAAACGAGTCTGTTGTGCAGAATTACAAGTTGAATGCGATTCTTTTAGGTAGTTAATAGATTTAAACGCCGCGTGTCTTGCTTTCTATTTTTTTTAATTTCGAGTTTTTTCTTTTAGGGGAACTTATCGAATGGAAAAATCAGACGGTACAATTTTTGAAGTTCGTATACCTCCATTTGCATTGGAGAGTAAAGAAGATGAAAATAATTAAAATGAAGAACTTATTTCATTTTATACTTGACAAAACCTAATTTTTTTTCAAAGTGTATTTTTACTACATATATATATTATATATATATATATATATATATATATATATATATATATATATATATATATATATATATATATATATATATATATATATATATATATATATATACAGGGGCAGATCTAGGATTTTATATAGGTGTAGCAAAAATTTGTAAAAATTACATAATTGCAACTATTTAAAAAGTCTACGTCAAAAAGACGTCCGATTATTACGTCATGAAGACGCTGCCATAAAGTTTTTTTTATCTGAGCGCCTTTAATGGACCTTTCCCCATAAAGCAATGCATTATGGTATTTGTATGTACGCGGAAGTAAACAACAAAAATAAGTCGAATAAAATGACAAATATTGAAAGAACTGAGATTGTCCCAATAGACTTTAGTGTATTTTATTTCACACTTTTTAAATTTTTTAGTTTTAAAAACTATATTAATGGAGTAAAATTTGTACTTTATAAAACTTCAGAGAAAAGATGTTCTTCTATAGAAAAACAATGTTCTTCTATAAAAAAAAAAGATTAAAAAAAAAAAGAAGTCGGGATTTTACATTTTTGTACCTAAATGCTTTAGCATCAAAGTGAAACAATAATTTTTTGTTTTATACAATTCCCAACATAGAAAATATTGAAGAATAAAATAAATATTAATTTCTTAAAATAATTTTTTATAATAATTTTTACATACTTTTACATCCTTTCAAATATTTTTTTAATCATAAACTCAAAATAAAATGTATTTAAACAGGGTGAAATCTTATTGAACCAGTTTTCATTTTCAAATTTAATTGATTCCACAAAAAAAGTCTTTATTTTTGTATTTAACAAAGTCAATTCTGCTCTTTTCGGTAAAAGATACCTTGACATTAGTAAAAATTTACTGTTTTTTAGTTTTTGTTGTCTATTACTAATTCTATACAGAAAGTTTTATTGGTACAACCTTTATGTAAATAAAGATTTCTTTTTTAAAAAAAAGCACTTTCCTTCATTTATTTTGCAGCTGTCTTAGTTAATGCATAACCCATCAGGGCTAGAACCAGCCATGGCATTTAGGATTTATAACAAGATCACATTTTTCAGTACCACAGTTAGCTTTTACTTTAAACTTTTCATGAGCAATATCTTTATTTCAATACTCCACTCACAAGCTTGTGATTGTAAACTTCTATCACAGTTTCTAAATAAGCTTTTTTAACAATGAAGTTGGAGGAATATTATTTCTACGGTTTATAACTGTACCAAAACTTGATGCAATAAGTTTTTAATTTTGTTCTTCAATCCATTTGTGTTTTTGTATTGATCTTTAGTTTCTGTTATAATTATTTTCTTAAAACTGATTAACATTATGGCAAGCTTTAATTTTCCTCAGTCAAATTAGTTTTAATTAAATGGTCCAGACAGTGCAGAAATTTCTCCATTATAACTAGGCTTAAACTTTTCAACATTTTTATATTATTATTTAGTAAATATTTCACAAAATGATTTTGGTTAAAATAATTTCAATAATTAACACAATGATTGTTATTCCTTGGTTTAATTCTATGTAATATTTGGTTTAACTCTAATTTATTTTACATAGTTCTCTTTGAATAACTGATAACTAGCTATTTTATGTTTCGCAGCTTTTCTTTAAAAGTATAGTCTGATACTATATAGGTAAATATATGTTGATATATTATCGGAAACAGAGATTTTGTCTTTTGACCATTAAATTATATCTTTAGAGATTATTTTGTTTTCCTCGCTTTTAAAGTTCTTATTTGTAATTACACAAAATGTTGCATTTAATGGAAAGCTAAGCTTTTTAAAAAGCTAGATCTAACAGGAATATTTATAGAGTTAATTATATATTCTTTTACATAGTATATTTTACATGTAAAATATACTTATATTTATAAGTATATTTTACATGTAAAATATACTTCAAACAAGCTTCTCTAACAAAATTTAACTTCAACTGCGTTGAAATATTAGTTTGTATTACAATACAATTATTCTCCTGCGGAGATAACAAAATTTGTAAAAGATTTTGGCGTTAATGTAATTAATTATAAGAGAGAAAACTATTATCTATGTACGACCAAGCCACAAAATAATGAAAAATTAAAAAAACTATGAATTGTGAGTTTTTGACTTTTCTGTACATTCAAATAACATAATGCATTGCTTTATGGGGAAAGGTCCATTAAAGGGTTGAACAGCTTCTGCGTCGTTTACCTGGATAAGTTTTTACTTATTGTACACATATATTATTCATATATATTTAATGGATTCTAGTAAAATAACTAATGGTATAATATAAAATTTGCCTTGGCTATTCTGTTCATAAGTTAGACATACAATGTTTAACTTACTTAAAGAAGTGCACCAGCTAGAAGGTAAACCATAGGACTTTGCACTCCATATGTAAGTTTTAATGCTGTCTAAGGTTAGTTCTCCATTTCTAAATTCTCTTCTATTTTTAATAGGCGTCAATGTAAAAGTATTGTTATTGTTGACAAAAAAAGCTCTCCATTTCTGGATTCTTTTCTTTATACTTTTGTTACTGATAAAGCAACTATTAATGCATTAACACTATAATAAATATTGTGGTATATTCAAAAGATATTTACTTAAAAATTGTGTACTACTATATATAAACATATATTAAGGTGGTAGCAGGGTGAAAAAGAGGCGTTTTTTGAAATTTTTTGAAAATTTCAAAAACTATATTTTTGAGATATTTAGGGTGTTATTTTTTGTGGAAACTTGGTTTGATTTAAAAAAACTTATGCATTTATACAAAATTTACCCTTCTAGATAAAGGTATTTAAGTTCTTAGGCCATAGCAACCGCCTTAGCAACGCTTTTTTTCAAATATCTCTGGATTAAAACCTGATCAAAACATCTAGTTTTCACTTAAAAGGCTTATTTTTATTCTTTTAAATATCTCTATTTATTCAATTTATAAGCTATACACTGAAGCCTCAAAAACCGTTCTCAACTCAGAGCTTCTAAATAAAGGTTGTGTTATAGATTCTTATATCCTTCAGTTAAAAAATATATATATATTTTGATTAATAAAGCTATTATAACTTGGAATGGGTTCTCAAAAAAGATATAAAAAAACAGTAAACAATGAACTGAGTCAAAATAAATCTGATTTAAAATCAGCGTCTGAAAAAAAATTAAATGTTTCATTTTCTGATAATCATACTCCAATTGCCATCCCTGGATGCAATTTTTTTATAGACAGTGATCTTTTTATGTTTCTTATTAATGTAGTTGGACGATGCCCTGTTTGTATTGCAACAATAGACATTGAACATATTTTATCAAATAAAATGGGTCATGCCCAGTTTTTTAATATTTCATGCACCGAATGTAATTGGAAAATAACATTTTGTTCTTCAAAAGAGTGCAGTAAATTTAGGTCTACTTCCAGAAAAAAAAGTTTTGAAATTAATATACAAACAATTGCTGCATTTAGAGAGATCGGTCAAGGTTTTAGTGCAATAAAAACATTTTGTTCTTGCATGAATATGCCATCACCAATGGCCAAAACAACATATAATGAAATTAATAGTGAGTTGAATAATGCCTACGTACAAACAGCACAAGAGTCAATGAAAGAAGGCTCCAAACAAATACATTTTAACAAAACTGTAGATCTGTAGATGATTCTGTTGTTATTGATGCTAAAGTTAGTGGTGACGGTGCTTGGCAAAAAAGAGGATACTCTTCCTTGAATGGAGTAGTTACACTAATTTCGGAGGGGAAATGCATCGAAACTAAAGTGTTATCTAAAAAATGTAAACAATGTGAAATGTGGGAACTAAAAAAAGTGAATGTAGATGCATATAATAACTGGAAAGAAACTCATGTATATTCAATAAATCACATTGGAAGTGCTGGAGCTATGGAAGTTGTATGAATGAAAAGAATGTTTGCACGTTCTGTACGTCTTCATTGTCTAAGATACACATTTTTTATTAGAGATGGTGATACAAAATTCTTTGAAGAAATATGTAAATCAGATCCATATCCAGGTCATAGCATTATCAAAGGAGAATGTATAGGACATGTCCAAAAACGTTTTGGAACACGACTGCGTAAACTTAAAGCCAATTACAAGGGAAAAAAGTTGACTGATGGTAAAAGCATTGGGGGAGGGAAAGGTCGGCTAACTACTAAAGTCATAAACACTCTTCAAAACCATGTTGGAATGGCCATACAACAAAATAGTGGCAACCTGTATAGGATGAAAAAGGCTGTTGCTGCGGTTTTACACCACGCAACAGATGAGCCAAATTTAGAAAACCGACATCAGTTCTGTCCACGTAGCTCTGATTCTTGGTGCAGATACCAAAGTGATAAAATCACAGGAGCAAAAACATATAAAGAAAAAGTTAATATTCATAAAGCTGTTTCTGATGTTATTGCTCCAATATTTTCTCACAGAGGTCTTGGTAGTGATGAACTTCTGACAAAATGTTTACACGGTGAGACCCAGAATGTCAATGAGTCTTTGAACAATTTGATATGGACACAATGCCCAAAAAGGGTATACATTGGATATGATATTTTTATTTGGGAATGATATTTTTAAAACTGCAGTTGCATCTGCTGTTATTGAATACAATGACGGTGCCCAAGGACTGCTTCCAGTTTTTAATAAACTGGCCATAGACAATGGGTATTTCACTAAAAAAGGTTTTAGATTATCTGATATTTGTCGTGTCAAACAAACTGAGAAAAAGTCAACTAGCTCAGTAAAAAAAAGAAGAAAGAAACTTCTTTCATCTAGAAAAAGTCATAATGATAAAAATGAACTTAAGGAAGGAGAGACATATGCTATTGGAGTATTTGAATTTGGTTTTTAAGTTTTATTGTGTCATTTAATTTTATTTCTTTTTTTCTTTAAGGTTTTTCTTGCCTTTAATTTTTCACAATTTTTGTGGTCTTTTAACAAAGATAACTTTTGATTGGATAAAGCTACTAAGCTGAATTTTTTTT